TTGCATGCGGCACACCACCAAATAATATCATATGGGAAAATGCAATTCACATCTGCCCAGTGACTCATAGGCATTTGTGGAGATGTGGCATTTTGGTTAGCCTGTCGAGATTACACGCTTAACGGCATGGTTCGAGTCCCGCTTAAAGTATTGATAGGCCCGAGAAGAGGTCGAAACTGCAGTCGACTGCAGTCGGGGTGGGAACAACTTTTCGGAAAGCAAGCTCTGTGAAATTAAATGTAAAAGTCAGATCTACTCATATCCTTGTGGGAAAATTATACTACCATTCCTTTATCATCTTAAACGAAATATAGTGAATACATCTAATAAAACCATCAACGCGTTTGATGCAAGCAATATGGGTTTAACTTGTGTTTAGTTTAGTTGATGTAGAATTAGCGTCATATACTTTACCGCCTAAAGACGTGTTAACACAGAATCTGACTATATTAACATACGCAGAGCGCAGTGACCGTAATGAATGTCAATTCGCAAAACATTGAAATATACTACTAGACTGGTTTTGCCCGATTTGTCCATTTGCATGATATCAAAAAAATTAAGCTAATATTATTTCGATACAATAATCTTTACGAGGAAGAAATATTTTCCTGGCATTAATATTGATTAAAAGTGGTAAAATGTTTTTATTTCATAAACACACAATTGAGATTGTATGATATTTTTGAAAATATATTTTATCTCGAATAAACTAAAAGTTCATTTTCAGGTCAGCAAAGGAGGGCTGCAGGAGCGAATTACCTTTGGTCTCGATATTCATGAGGCATTTTTAGCGGGAAGAAGCCTAGCAAATTGGAATATAGTTATAATAGCTGGCATTATCTTTGCTGCAATTTACAATTAGTTTACCCACTAGCTATATCGTTGTTTGCCGTCTTTATATATATATATATATAATTTTTTTATTCCTTCCTTCTCAATATGAGATCTATGTCTAAAGGTAAAAGATATACCGGCCGTGGTGATTATTTTTTCTACATATCATTCAATAAATGTTATAATAAAAACACTCAAGACTTGCTCAAATGAATGAAGTTCCATTCCCAGGAAGAAAAATACCTTAAGGTATATTCAGAAGTTTGCCATTTTAAATAATTTAATATTTCACTATAATTTGCCCAAAAAAGTCTAAATAGATTGAAATTTACATTCTTCATTCTTTAGCAATAATATTTGGCCTTTTACAAACCTCTAATATGCAAATTCCTCTCAACTTACTTGCGTTGGGAATAAGAACAATTCCAAATCATCCAGCTTATTCATAGAGAATGATTATTTAGTGAAAATTAGGCAAACTTTAAAAAATAATATTCCAGAAACTCTGTCGATGCGTCATACGAAACATGTCAATTAGCAATTATTTACAGTGCCTAAGGATGTCATTATAAGAGGGTTAACAATTTTGGAGTACTTTTACAATAACTTTATTTATTCATAGATTGATGCATCCAATGCAGCTTTAAAAAAATGCATTTTGGCATTTAAGAAAAGAAATGAAACATTACTTTATGTAAATATTCTAGTCAATATTTTATATTTAAGTTGTGTTTTCAAAAAAATTAATATCTGTAACATTTAATTTAACCTATTACTGTCGCAGCTTACTCATTGATAGAGTCGGTAAGATCCAAAATGATGTTTATATTCAAGCCTGTCGGTAGATTTTTATCACTTATTTTCTGCATTGAGTATACGAATATAAGCAAAATTGGCCAAAATGTCTAGCGCAAATGAGTCAATATCGAGTATTTTTTAGTAAGAGCAGCAATTAACATAATTATAGCTACGCATATTGTTTACAAAACCAGGTAAATTTACTTTGGTGTCCCGAAGAAATTTCAAGAATCTTGAGCGAAGTGGAATAAGCCAATATAAGAATCAAACTCGTGTCTCCCCTCTTCACTTTCAAGACAAATCAAGACAATTCTGCAGATAGTGTAAAATTGAGTTTATCTTGCAATAAGTAGAGCAGCAAGTTTCATTTGGGAACATTTTGAAAGTTGTGTCTTTTCTCAGCAGATCGGGCAGCTTTAAATTTGCTCATCTTTCGATAAAGTAGAGAATAAGTTCCAATATTCCAGTTATTATGGTTTACTTGCTGTAGTCCCCATGAAAAGCGGATCTTCTCGTATATATATTAAGCAATTTCTGCGTCCAAGAAATGATCCCATTTGCGAAATTTCCCTCTTGCCAGAAAGTCTTTTACTGTAGAGAAAGTAGGAAAACAACTTTCTATGCATCACTTGAAGGTTCAAGGTTGATGTGTTTGAGTTGAAGGTTTGAAATGAGAAAAGTACCCGGCCGCTCTGGAACTTTCCTCCCAAAATGCATGCCCACAGACACAAACACACGAAAGGTGTGTAGATCCAAATCCGGCTTAAAGTATTTAAAAGCCATTTCAATTTCTAATTTCAATATTCCGTGTTCAAATGATAGACGCTTATATTTACTTGTTACTTCTTAATGCAATCAAAACTATGTTTAAACGTTAGAAGCAATATTCTGATTGGCCCAAATCTTGACCCTAAAAATGGTTCAAATCTAAACCATGAACCAAAGCCGAAGTCTGATTATAATTTCAGTAGTAGCCACCAGGTTTTAGTGTCGCATATCTTCACGTTTACGATGGCTCCAGGCTTCGTGAAGAACACAGATCAGAATGTGTGTACTCGTGGGTGTGTCTGTATGCTAATGCAGTTGGATGTGCGGGTGTGTAGTGGTGTGAAGTAGGTTCACTTTTTCAAGCCATGATAAAAGTGAAAATTTTGCTAAATTTTCTAAAACCCACACAAATTGACGACTACCCGTAGTTTAGAGAAATTCACAAATTCACATGGCACGAATGCATTTTATCGCAAAGGTCAGAGAAACACATCCGATTCATTTTCCTGCAGAAAGGTCTTGTCTTCCAAGTCCTGGCGTTTTGTCTTTGCATCCCACAGAAACTGGTTTATCTGAAGGGCTAATTTGTGTCTTTTCACCCGCTTAGAGCGTGTGCCGCGGGCCAAGTAGACGTAGAGCAAGACAGAGTTTTTGGCCCATACAGGCCCCAGTTTCCGTGTTCCCACAGTTGATTGACAGTCGGTCTGACAAAACCAATTTTCCGGCTGAACGACAAGCCGCGGCAAGCCTGTTGCCCAAAGCGTTAGTAATTCAGCTACAGCTTAACCTTGACAAAGCTGGATCCAGATCACATGTGATAAGCCATTCTGTCCATCTTTTCTCTTTTCTTTAAGGCAATTCGGGCAAAACACAGTTTTTCCATGCGGTACAGAGACGAGGTCTTGACAAAATCCCCTAAAATTGCACACTCTTCAACATGACAAGCGCCAAAGTTTCTGATAAATTAAACGTCTTTTTCCGCGAATTCTTGCATTATTGCGAAGGATTTCGTGCTATTTAGGCGAATCGAGGTCGAAAGGACGATGAGCGAGTTCAAACTTATAAAAGTTTATGACAATTTACAGAAACCGATCGTACAATTGAATGGCGGGAGTAGCGCTTCAGTTGTTGAGAAGCCCACCCTGTTACAAATTATGTGGAGAAAAGGCTAAAACCTTCGGAACCAACCCTATTTGGACAAAATGGTGGATCATATCTCAATAAAAAGTAACGGCAACTCTCGAAGAAAAGGTAATCTTTTACTATTTTTGTAAAAAGTAGGTTTTTGAGACCACATCCCATATCGAAAGCTTGTCTGTATTCATATTTGTATGTATGTCTGTGAATGTGTTAATGCATTAGTGTGTCGGTGTGTATGTGTGCTCCAATCACGGGTGGCACAGTTCACAGTTAGCAAGGATATTTGATCTTTCCTAATTGGGAAACAGGATTACAAGGCGCCTGGGAAGGTGGACTCAATTAAAGCTAACAGAATTTCTGAAAATAAATGTCAATTTAAATGTGGCTTTTTAAGCTGATTACTCGGAATTCATAGCATCGAGCTTGGTTTCATTTCGAGTGAAAGTTTTGGGTGAAAAGATTCGCAGGTCGGTTCCACCAGAAGACTACGGCGGATTCCTCTTGACCAGCTGTCGATTGGCTTTACTGCAACATTCATGCTGACGCGGTTTCCGAGGTGATCTCCGAGGTGCTAATCTTTCGTTTGTCACATGATGAACATGGCCAGAGCAAGGTAGCATCGTCACAACCAAATTCAGACTAACAAGTCAAGAAAACTCACCGGAAAATCTTTAAAAAGTGGTAAATATAGTCTATATCTGACCTTTTTGATAGGGTATAAAGTGATTTGGTTAGTTGCTGTCATATTTTAACTTCGATGTTTGTGAGTGTGTCTGTCTCTGTATGTGTTGTGCCTGCACATGTTCGTTTATGCACGAAACCCGCAGTGATGGCTCAAAGTAATTAGTACAGCAAAAAGGAAAGTCTGTTTTCAAGTACAGAGAATTTATTATGATTAGAACTAAGACACGATAAGTTGGGTACCGAAGAATCTCTTGTTTCATAATTTTTGAGCTCACTTACATCTCGAGTCGGAATCGAAGGAGATTAGCTCAGAAACAAAGTCATCATAAATGTTCCAGTAAAGCCAATCGACAGCTGATCAAGAGGAATCGGCCGTCGTCTTCTGGTGGAACCG